ATAGTCATTATGCAAGTGTCACAGAACAGGCTGGAATATATGCAGGTGATAGCGGATATAATGTACAGGTAAATAATGCAACTACACTTACAGGTGGTATAATCAAAGGTAGTACTGATAAATCCAAGAATAAATTATCCTCTAACTCTTTAAAAATGAATGAGATTCAAAATGAAGCATCCTATTCAGCAAAGACCTCTGGATATAGTTTATCTACGACTAAACGCTCTAAAAATAATCCGATAGGTATTACTGGTAGCCCTAAAATGGGTATTCCTGTAAAAGGTAATTCTAAATCAACTACTCATTCTGCTATCAGTGAAGGTATCATTGAAATTGCTGAGAAAGAATCTTTAGAAAAGATTAATCATGATACAGAACAAGCACTTAATAAATTAGCTCCTATTTTTGACAAGAAGACAGTAGAAGAAAAACAAATTCTTTTATCTAAAATTTCTGACCATGGATATAAATTAATTGGTGATATTGCACTTCATCAACAAAAAGTTTTGTATAATAAGGCAAATGAAGCAAAAAATAGAGGAGAAAAAAATAAAGCTATTTATTATATAAAAGAAGCAGAAAAATGGGGAGATAATGGAATTTATAAATTAGGAATACATGCTGGATTTGGTAGTGTTTTATCTCAATATGCAGGGTTTAAATCGACTAATGGTTTAAAAGCAGCTAGTATGAATGAAATAATACAAGGTAGTATAAATAAGCGCTTGGATTCAAATACTAGAAAGCTAATAAGTGCTATTATAGGTAGAGCGGTTGCTCCGGAGATTGGCGCACCTATTGCTATAAGTGCTACTGAAAATAACTGGTTAAATCATTATGACCAAATGGCAATATTAAGTCTTGTAAATGGGGGAAAATATGGTAATCAATATCTTGGACGTCAACAACTAGCCTACTTTGTTGCTTTAGATGAGCGTACTAGTGAATCGGCGGCAGATGCACTTGGTATAGATGAGTCTATTGATAGTAGCTTTGTATTATCAGGTGAATATACGAGTTTGATGGATTATTTTATGCAGAATGGTGTAGATACATCTAGAGGTTTAAGCTATGCTCTTCGAGACTTAGCTAGGGTTCGAGGGTATGATATGGAGTCTTTTGAACAGAGTGTTCTTTATTATAAAGAACAAATGTCTGATAGTTATTTGCGACTCCATTATCCTGATTTATCGTATGATTTATCTGAACGTTTTAACTCACACGCTGATAATCTTGCTGAGACTATGCTTACCCAAACAGTATCCTCTATAAAAAGTCGATACTATAGGGATTCTGATGGTCAACTAGTTAAGGAATATATGAATGGAGATATTGAAGAAACGGGTATATTTAAAGGTGTTGAAAATATGAACTCACAAATACCTGTAGAATTTACTGGAACTTTTTATCAAAGTGGAAATAATTATATACCTACATATACTGTCCCTGATAATATTAGAACTGTTGTATCGCAAGGTTTTTATAGTGATAATGATAGTCGTTTGGGCTTGCAGTTGGTTACTATTGGTGGAGAACGTTATATTCAGGATATTAATACAGGTATCATATTAAAAGTATCCCCTAATTTTATTATAGAAAAATCAGTTTTAAATGCCCCCGTACAATCTAATACACTTAATAATATAATTAATAGAGGAACAATTGAGGAGTCTGATTTAACTAAAGTAAAAACTATTCGTGAAGATGGAAAGACCTACATTGAGGATAGTCAAAGTGGAGAACGTATTTTGGCTGACTATGGTTTACTATTAAGATCACAGGGAAAAAGTAGATATGAAATTGCTAACGATAGACTTAAACGTATTGGCACAAATAAAAAAGTTGGATTAAGTGGTGGTATTCCAATATATGGCCCTGCAGCATTAGTAGGATCTTTTAGTGAACAGAAGAACTCTAATGGTGATATTATAAGAATATATGAAGGTGGCGGTAGTATAGGTGTGCCTATAAAAATAGCTGGAGTTAACATTGTACAGCCAATTTCTGGAAATGGTATGGATGTTTATACAACAAATGGTTATAATCCAGATGTTGAACCTGGGCGATTACATGGGGTTGCTTCTGGTAATGCATCTTTATTTGGTAATCAGTATACAGTTGACACCGATAGCTCTAATATTTCTCAATCTAAAGTTGTAGGCATTAGTCCGATAAATGCAAGTGTAGATGCAAAAGTACAATATACAGAAAAATTAGAACGAGTTGTAGATACGACAACTGATAGCTCTATAAAAAATAATTTTGGTGAATTATCTTCTTCATCAAAGAAAGCATTAGGAATGTATTATAAGGATCCGTCTATTGGTGAACGGTATGTCCATAATGTTGATAGTCAAAATAAAAATATCTTTATTATTCGTAAAGTTGATTCAGTTACACATACTTATGAGCTCCTTGATGAAAATGGTAGTTGGATACCATTGAGTAAATCAGATTTTCAAAATAATTTTACTAAATATAAAGGGTAGATTATGCATCTTAAAATAAATATCCCTAATGACTGTAATTTATTCAAAGCTAATATACGAGCATTAGGAGATTCTAATATTTTTAGAAATAGACGTTTAAATATTATAACAGCAATAACATATTATGCTGCGATAGTATTTATATTCTTAATGACAATGGCTTTAGGTTTTTATGTTAACCCTAGATTATATAGCGTCTTTTTTTATGGGATTGATATGATAACTAATATATTGTTTTTAGTTGTATTGGGATATCGATGTCAAGATTATGGGATTCATAGATATATAGGTATTCTATGTGTTGTTATAATTAGTTCCATTATTACGTTATATTGTGGTGGTGATTTTTTTGTAAGCCCTAGTAATTATATTTTAGCGGTATCAGATACAACTATTTCTCTTAATAAACCCTTTTTTTTCATAGTAATGAATAGAATGATTTTATTATTACTTTTAATTCCTGGAAGTCAAAAGAATTCGTATGGTGATAGACCTGCATCTGGATTTTGGGATGGCTCTTATTTAGTAATGGATCCTTTAAATATTAAAATTATAAAGATTAAGATTAGAAAATTATGGAATAATTTAATTGGTAAAAAGGACTGTGATGATACATTAAGGCCTGGTAATGCTATAAAAGAGCAAAAGTTTGAGTTTATGGAAGTTCTCCAAAAAATTCTCATTAAAGATATTTTTAATTTTGAGGGCCGATCTTCTAGAGATGAACTGATGATATTTACTATGCTATTTTCTGTGCTATCAATGTTATTAAGTTATATAAATATATCTGATATATTGAATAGTTATGTTGTTAATATTTTTATAATTGACGTCTTAGTCGCTATTATTATATTAGTACCTTATATAAGTTTACTTGTTCGTCGTCTTCATGATAGTGGAAATAGTGGTCTTTGGCTTTTCTTTATAGTAGTTCCTATTGTAAACGTATAAGCAGTGGTATCAACGCAGAGTACTTGATGAGACAATCAAATGCTGAAATTGATTTTTTATTTATTTTTAGAGAAAATTGATAGGTTGGTATGTTTGAGAATATTGTAATTGGTCTTCTTTGGCTTATTAATGGTGAATTATCTCGTCATATTCGAAGTATATTTTAATTTATTATTCTTTGTATTGCTTGTGTCTTTGATCTATGGCGTCATAATCGCTCAGGCAAAATCACAGCTGGCGACAAGAGAGAATGTATGATACCTTTATAGGTCGAATTAAGTTCATTGTTATGTTTTTACTTGGTTTTATGTGGTGTTGCATCGGTTATACATTATTTTGGTTGATTTTGATATTTTTTCTCATTGACTTCTATAGATTAATCTTGTACTATTATTACATAGTAGTTGATAACAGTTTTTCCAAATTGTGAAAGTTGTTTTCATGTATGAGTAATATGGAGGTCACATATGAAAGGCATAATTATTGCATCCTTTGGATCAATTTACCAAGATGCTGTGGAGAAATCCATTGGCAGTATAGAGAAAAAAGTACGTTCCATGTATAGCGATATGGAGGTACGCCGTGTATTCTTATCTGATGCATTAGTAGAGAAGTGGAATGAGAAATACGAAGATAAGATTTCTTCTTTCACAGAGACCATGCAAGATTTCGCTCGCATGGGAATCGATGAGGTGTACATTCAACCTATTACATTGGTGGCGGATCAGTGGTTACCAACAAATGCGCAAACAAGCATTAAAGTTTTTACATAGCAATGAATATGGTTTTAGCCAGGTGAATATCGGTAAACCATTGCTTACTTCTTTAGGTGTAAAAAATTATGCCGATGATTATGAAGCAACATTAGAAAGCATTGTTCGGTCATGTTAATACAAAAGCACTTAATAAAATCTGTTGTACTCATGGCGAATGGTCAAAATCAATTAGAGTTCAGTACATTGCAATTAAAGCGATGTATGGCGTAGCACCAAACGTAGTAGTATTTACTACAAATGGCTTCCCTACTTTTAAACAAGCTCTTACTTTCTTGGATCGTATGGGGCATAAAGATTTGTTAGTTGTACCATGGCTCTCATAGGTTCTACACATTTAATGGATTATCTTGGCGGTGAACGCTCCGATTCCATTTATGCTTTACTCGCTGAGAAGGCTACAATGTTGACATCTGGAATGAAGGGCTTGGGGAAAATCCACATGTACAAGATTTATTTTTGAAAACATTTAGGTCAAGCTATCCGCATGTCTGATCGGAAGCGGCCCATGCCTAGAGAATCCGTAAAACCTGTGATGACAAATTCTCGCTTGGAAGCGCAAGGGTTGATTTCTTGATATTTGCTATTACATAATTAGACATACATTACTGCACTCCTTCACATTAATAAAAATCCTTCTTGTTGGATATCCAATGAGGAGGATTTTTTACTTTTACCATGAAAGATAAGAATAATTTCCATTTTATACGTACCATGGTATGCCCCTAGAGAATGGTCTATGGTATGATTAAGATACATTATTAGTTAATATAAGGAGACATTCATGAAACAAGCTATCTTAGTTGTTGCCTTTGGGTCCACTGTGGACAGTGCTCGTGAACATAATATCGATTCTGTAGTAGAACATATTCGTAAATCGTATCCGGATTATACTGTAGAATTAGCTTTTTCGTCTCGTATCATCGTTAAGCGCTTACGTGAGCGTGGTATTGAGATTCCTACTGAACAAGGGGCGTTAGAAAAACTGATTCAAGAAGGTTATACACATGTATATGTGCAGCCACTTCATTTCACCGGTGGTGAAGAGTTCGATAAATTAAAAAATAATATCCTTGCTCATGAAGGTGAAGGACAACTCGAAGTGTTGCGTGTAGGTAGACCTCTCGTATACTACATGGGACAAGAAGAGCATCCAGATGATTACCAAATTTTGATTGATCGTTTCATTAAATCTCTTAATATTTCCAAAGATGATGGTTTGTTATTGGTTGGTCATGGAGGTCTTGGTTCTGGCAATTCTTCATATGGTAATTTACAGTTTTAAGCTAATCCGTAATGGACTTACGAATGTGCGTATTGCTGTACTTGAAAACGCACCATATGTGTCAGATGTAGCAATGCCTTGGGAATGGCTTGATGGTAAACGCCCAAAAACAATTTATGTACATCCTTTATTATTGGTACTCGGGGATCATGCACAAAATGATTTATTTGGTGACGAAGAGGATAGCATAGTGAATGAACTCGCTGGAGCAGGATATGAGGTTAAATCAATTCATAGTGCTCTAGGTGAATATGAAGCGATTCATGATATTTTCCGTCAACATGTGCAAGATTGTATCGACGATTTGTATGGCAAAACGTAGCCCACATCGTCCTGCAATACCAAATATTAAAATAGTATCTTTGTATATATTGTATAAATTGGTTATAATAAAAGATATTGCAATTATAAATAGAGTGTGACTATAAGAATAGGAGATACCCATGAAAGGTAAATTATATGGTATTGGCGTAGGCCCTGGCGATTCTGAATTAATGACTGTGAAAGCTGCTCGCATCGTAGGAGAAGCAGATATTTATTATCACACCTAAAACAGAAAAGAAAGATGGTTCCGTAGCCTTGATATCGCATCCCCATATATCCAAGAACATACAGAAATCGTTCCCGTAGTATTCCCAATGGTGTTGGATGATTCTACGCAAGAGGAAGGCTGGCAAGAGGCTAAACGCGTTATCTTGTCTTACTTGGATGAAGGTAAAAGTGTTGTATTCTTAACATTAGGTGATCCTATGTTCTACAGCACATATATGTATGTATAACCGTTTGATTGAAAACACAGGGCATGAAATTGAAACAATTCCTGGCGTTACTGCATTCTGTGCTATCGGATCTCACCTTGGCTATCCAATCGTAGAGAAGGAAGAGGTGTTGGCTATCGTTCCAGCTACAGCGCCTAAAGAAAAAATCGATGCTGTATTGGCTGTTGCAGATGATGCAGTTATTATGAAGGTATATAAAAACTTTGATGAAGTACAAGAAACCTTGATTAAACATAATATGGCAGATGATGCGGTTATGATTAGCCGTGTAGGTTTGCCTGATGAGCAAGTATTCGTAGGTTTAGATAATATACAAAAAGATACTAAACTCAACTACTTATCTACAATTCTTGCAAAACGCAAGGATCGTTAACAAACACATCGTATTACGAGGTAATATCTATGAACACAGTACAGATTCCACGTGTTGTTATTGCTGGCACCAATTCTGGTGTTGGTAAAAACAACTATCGTTGCGGGCTTATTGTCCGCTTATGCAAATGGTGACGTACGGTGCAATCCTTTAAAGTGGGCCCGGATTATATTGATCCGGGCTTTCATAAAATTGCATCCGGCCGTGACAGCTATAATTTAGATACGTGGCTCGTGCCACCCTCACAAGTTGACTCCTTTCTTTGCTACAATGGCACATGATGTAGACCTTGCCATTATTGAAGGTGTTATGGGCCTTTACGATGGTGGTCGAGAGGGCGTTAGTTCTACGGCTCAAATTGCTAAACAGCTAAATGCACCGGTGGTGCTTGTTATTGATTGTAAGGCTATGGGTGAAAGTGCAAAGCAGTGGTATCAACGCAGAGTACTGTTCCGTGACTATGACCCAGAGGTAAACTTTGGTGGTGTCATCTTGAACCGTTTAGGTTCTGTCAATCATGAGCGTATGGTTCGTGAAGGAATGGATAAAATTGGCGTACCCGTTATCGGCGCCATTTATCGTGATGACCGTATGCATTCTCCAGAGCGCCATTTAGGACTTACACCGGTTACCGAAATCGATCCAACAGAGGCGATTAATACGATTCGTGAAGCGGTGGAAAAAATGGTGAATCTCGATCAATTGTTGGATATTGCCTCTAGTGCACCAACTATCGAACTACCAGATGCTATAGATACTAAAACCATTGAAAAACGTGTGAAAATCGGTGTAGCTTATGATGAGGCGTTCTCTTTTTACTATCCAGCTAGTCTTGCTGCGTTAGAGGAAAAAGGGGCTGAGCTTGTTTACTTTAGTCCGCTTAATGACTCGGTAATTCCTGATGTAGACGGACTTGTATTCGGTGGTGGCTTCCCAGAAATGTTTTTATTTCAGTTATCTAGCAATGAGTCTATGAAGGAATCTATCCGCCAAGCTAATGCACAAGGTATGCCTATTTATGCCGAATGTGGTGGCCTCATGTATCTTTGTGAAAGTATTCATGACTTTGAAGGTTCTGTATATAAAACTGTAGGTATTGTACCTGCCAATTGTGTGATGCAACAAAAGCTTCAAAAGGTGGGCTATGTTACAGCAACTGCAAATGGAGATACTTTATTAGGCGCTATGAATACAGCTATTCGTGGTCATGAGTTCCATTTCTCTACAATGGAGCCAACTATAGATGACTTCCCATGGGCTTTTCATTTAGAAGGAGGCCGTAAACCTCAATCGTATGACGGCGGCTATGCAACAAAAAATGTATTAGCTTCTTACTTACATTTGAACTTTGCTGGCTCTGATGAAGGGGCACAACATTTTGTTGATACATGTGCTGCTTATAAAGCCCAAAAGTAATAGATGTATAAATGTATTTAATAAGTTTATATTACTATGTATTATCACAATTAAATACATAAGTATTGTAATGTGCTATTGCAATTGCAATTATATTCATATGTATTGTTGTGATCCTATTAGTAAATATGAGGAGAATGTAATTAATCAGGAATAGTTAGTTCTTAAAGTTATTGCGGGACAGTTCGTATTAAAGGAGCTATTATGGAAGAACGTGGATTAATTCTAGTTAATACAGGAAATGGTAAAGGTAAAACAACAGCGGCATTAGGCGTTGTTTTACGTGCTGTCGGACAAGGTTTCAAGGTTCTTATATTACAATTTATTAAGAGCGGTAATGGTTATGGTGAATTGGCAGGTCTCGCTAAACTAGGTGATCAAGTTGAAATTCGCTCTATGGGAAAGGGTTTTATTTACTATAAACGTGATGAAGTAGGAGAAGCTGAACTTGCTCGCCATAAAGAAGCAGCACAAGCCGCTTGGCGTACATTAGTAGAGGAAGTAAATTCCGACAAATGGGATCTAATTGTTATGGATGAAATTAATAATGCCATTAATTATGAGCTTATCGATGTGCATTCTGTAGTGGAAATGCTTAAAAATAAGCCAGAAAGACTTCATGTTGTTTTGACGGGTCGCTATGCTAAACCTGAAATCATTGATATGGCAGATACTGTAACGGAAATGAATGTAGTAAAGCATGCTTATGAAAAGGGCATTAAGGCTGCTAAAGGAATTGAGTTCTAACTAAATTCAAAAAAATCGAAAAATATCGAAAAAGAACTTGCTAAAACTATATCGAAAATGTATAATATAGTCATAAGCACAGAGGTGCTCAATATTCTTGACATTAAGTATGTATATAAGACTAACCAGGAGGTTAACTATGGCTGTACATGATTACATTAAATCTGGCGATTTCGCTACTGAAAAACACGTTCCTGTTATCGAAACAGTTGACACTGTAAAAGCAGGTGAAACATTCCACGTTACTTTATCCGTAGGTAAAGACATTGCACATCCAAACACTGTAGAACATCACATTGATTGGATTAAATTGTACTTCGTAGCTGAAGGCACTCAATTACCATTCGAAGTTGGCGCTATCGAGTTCAACGTTCATGGTGACGGTGCAACTGCAAATGAAGGTCCTGTAGCAGCAGTTTCTGAAGGTACTTTAGCAGTAGCTTTGAAAAAATCCGGTAAATTGATCGCTGTTTCCTACTGCAATATTCATGGCTTGTGGGAATCCGAAAAAGATATCGTAGTTGCTTAATTAACTAAAACAACTAATAAAGACCAGCCCGAGGGCTGGTCTTTTTGTATATCTATGTGTTTACATAGCTTAATAATGAGGTAAAGTTAAACTTTCAATAGTAGATATTTAATGGCATTATGGCTAATACATGTTAGGATTATTTAATGCATATTCATAATATTATAAACATATTATTTGATTTTTAGTGTCCGCATAAAAAGGAGTTTTGTATCACTCCAGTGGATTAATTGCTGTATATCCCTTTACAGTGCTATTTGTTTGTGGTAAAGTATATGCATATTGATATTTAGTAAACATAGTTAAATGAGGGATTATTGTGGCCTTAATCGTTAAAAAATTTGGTGGTAGTTCCGTAGCTACACCAGAAAAAATATTTAATATTGTTGATCGCGTTCTTCGTGAGAAGCAAGCTGACGATAAAATCGTTCTTGTTGTATCCGCTATGGGTGATACAACTGATGACTTGGTGGCCTTAGCTAAACAAGTTACATCCAAGCCGTATGGTCGTGAAATGGATCGCTTGTTATCTACAGGTGAACAAGTAACAATTGCATTGATGGCAATGGCTTTTAACGAACGTGGTCAGGAATCTGTATCCTTAACAGGTGATCAAGCAGGTATTACAAGTAGTGATACGTTTAATAAAGGTCGTATTTTGGGCGTTGATCCTAATCGTGTGTTTGAAGCTTTGGATGAAGGTAAAATAGTAGTAGTTGCTGGTTTCCAAGGTATAACTGAATATGGTGATATGGTGACATTAGGCCGTGGTGGCTCTGATACAACAGCTGTTGCATTGGCAGGTGCTATGAAAGCGGATGTATGTGAGATTTTTACGGATGTAGACGGCGTATATTCTACAGATCCTCGCGTGGCGAAGGAAGCTTTCAAATTAGAAGAAGTAACGTATGGTGAAATGCTTGAAATGGCACGCCTTGGTGCAGGTGTAATGCAACCGCGTGCCGTAGAAATGGGTTTCCGTTATGGTGTACCTATTCATGTACGTTCTACATTTAGTGATAAACCAGGTACTATTATTCGGGAGGATTATACTGTGGAAGCAAATAAACACGTAATTACTGGCGTAGCTGATGATACAAATACAGCAAAAGTAGCCCTTGTAGGCGTTGAAAATAAACCAGGCGTTGCAGCGACTGTATTTAAAGCATTAGCTGCTAGAAACGTTGACGTAGATATGATTGTTCAATCTATCCGTTCCGTGGGAGAGCCAAAAACTGATCTTATCTTCACAGTAGCTATGGATGATGTGGTATTAGCTCGAGAAGTATTAGAAGAATTACAAAAAGCAGTAGATATTGAAGCTGTTAATATCGATGAAAAAATGGCGAAAGTTTCCATTATTGGTGCAGGTATGTTAGGACAACCTGGTGTAGCTGCGCAAATGTTTGATATCTTGAGCCAAGAAGGTATCAATATTGAAATCATTTCTACTTCTGAAATTAGTATTTCTTGTCTTGTTGCTGAAGATCGCGTAAAAGATGCCGTTCGTGTAATTCATAACGGCTTATTGTTAGATCAACGAGGTTAATTACTTCATGGATAGTCTACGTAGTTTTATGGATGAAATGCTCAATGACCAAGGTCGTAAAGAAGGTTTCATTAGCGATCTACTAGGAAATCTAAAAAATCAGCCTATTCCAACATTGGAACAAGCTCAAACTGGTTATTCAACAATGAGTAATTTACATGGTATCTTCTATGATTACGATAAGTCTGAGGTTACTATTACTTACAAGGTTGTACCAGATATGTATCAACCATATACATTGAGCTTTATACAATTTGAAGCCGTGTTAGAAGGCTTATTAACCTTACGTCGCAATCAAAAGTGGCAGATGCAGCATAATAAATAATATGAACCCCATGGGTATACTTGCCTATGGGGTTTTGTAATTCGATAATTATTCTTAACATCTATATATAGAGTCATCGATATGATATAATAAATTATTCAGAGAGAAATCATTATATTAGTATAGAAAGAAGGGACAGCATGGAAATAAATAAGGTTTATTCTGGCTTTCGCCTTGACCGCATTGAGCACATTGATGAGATCAATGGTACCGCTTATGAAATGAAACATGAAAAGTCTGGTGCTCGTTTAATTTATATTGATTCACCAGATTCTAATAAAGTATTCAATATCGCTTTTAGAACAACACCACATAATAGTACTGGTGTAGCACATATTATGGAACATTCCGTTTTATGTGGTTCTCGTAAGTTTCCTTTAAAAGAACCATTTGTTGAACTTGTTAAGGGGTCTTTAAATACGTTCTTAAACGCT